CCTGGTGGTCCCCCGCTCCCGGGAGGTCACCATATTGATGCCGAACTTAGTGGGGACACCCGATCGGTATAGAGCACTACAGCCCAGAACTCCTGGACTCAAGCGATCCTCCACCTCAGCCTCCCGAGTAGCTGGGACTACAGGTGTGGCCGGCCAGATAGTTTTGATATAGAAGGTGGCTCTTATTTTTGGTAGAGAAAAACAGTTTATTTGTACTCTACTACAAATGTGCTTATAAAGTTCAGCTTACTCTAAGAGTTACTGTATAGCAAACTATAGAAAATAGAGGAGGCATTCAATAATCTCACAATTAACAAGCACTAGATACTTGAATACATATAGCATGTATTACCTATTTGTTACACCTCACTTTGACAATGAGCAGATGGTTTATCACTAATAGTAAATGGTTTCTTACTTTTTAAAAGACATCAGATTCAGTAATGGAAGTAGAAAATATTTTAAAGAAAACTGCCTTTAGAAAATATCTCCTTGGATCTGTGCTGCTGTGGTGCATACTGCATATCTGGGTCAGATTCAACAGTTTAAAAAAGACAGCTACTAACAAACTGAATTGCTGAGAGAAGACAAACAAGTAGTATGTTCTAAAGCAAGATGTTGTTTTCTGCTTTTGTCCTCTGGAGAGCAAGACAGAACTAGGGAGTAGTAAATGGAGATTTGCAATACAGTATAATGAATAATAATTTGCTTCTATTTAATGCTATGGGGATATTGCTATCACTTAGATTAATATAGAACAGTTTTAAAACACGTTGCTAATGAAGATCTTGCATGTCTTTATTCCATAAACACAAGAGCTAAATATAAAGATATTCTCTAATATTCTGTAATTTTTAATCCATATCCATACAAATTAGCTTAAAGATTCAGAAAAGCATCGGAAACTTACCTGAACTATCTTACGTGATGTGTTCATGAGAAACAATCAAAATAAGACAATAACTATTGAGTTTATCTGTACCTTGCTTGTATGTCTCATCAGTATAATTGAGAAAATAATTTTTGCCCACTTCTGTAAAAAATACTACACCACTTTCTGGCTAATGTGTGATAGAAACAAGATAAGCCTGATGTATCCATTTCCAAAAAGAAAAGAGATCATAGGCTTAGGTGGAGAGCAATCTATATTGAAGTATTCTTCTTCCTTCTCTAAGGCATCTTACTCCAATTTTTCCTTAGGTGTAAATTTCCTCCTTGACTTACATTAACTCTGTAAAGGGCCTGAAATGACTTTTACATTCTCTATGGAAAACAGTTTTTTTCATCAAGAACACTTTCAGATAAAATATTTGAAAGCTATGCACTATTCTTAGCAACTGTGGTATTCTGTTCAACTTAACACAGACATTAAGGAGTACATTTTACAGAAGTTAAAAGAAAACAAAACCACAGCTCAGAACTGTTCCCCAGGGCAAAGATGGGATCATATTCTATTTTCCCTTTAGGACTTAAAATCGTAGGATAGCACCTTTGAATGGACCAAACCATTATCCGAATGAAAATTAATGTATGAAGTTGAACATTAAACATCATGGCTTAAAAGCTACTATCATTCAATTTTGCTTCCAAATCATGTTAAGTAACATATATTTTGTGAAAAGTTGTTAAAAGAAACAATTTTCCAAGGTGATATAATACAAAAAAGTTAAGGAGCAACAAAATGCCTCCGGCTTCATTCTAAAAACAGTTTTTATGAATCATTCCAGAATATGATACACCTTGCAGCTTTATTAGTTTTGTCACATGGCCAGTAAGACATCTCAGATGAACTGACTGCCAGAAACTTTTTTATCCCTGTAAGCCCTCATTACAAACTAGATTTAGTCCTTTTAGTGTGATCATACAGAATGACCATATTGTCTTAGTATATCCCCAACACAGTGACAGTGTTTTTTAAAATCAATATCCATTAGTAAGACATTAGAATGATACAGTTCCTATTTTCATATTTAATCCTTTTTTAAAAAGTAGGTCCTTTGACACTCAGCTCCACAGCCCGAAGAATTGATGCAGGGGCCGCACGTTAAGCAAACATGGACATTAATATTCTATATAAAAAAGACAGGCTCTCTATTCCTTGACCTCTGCCTCACCCTAGCACTCTGGTTCAAAGCTTGGAAACAACAACTTCTGCCATTTGTGATGGAAATGATTTACTGGTAAGGGGTACAAGACGAATTGATGATTATAGCTCTGGTCAACAGGTTCCTCTGAAGAAATGTTAAGAATGCCCATTCAACTAAAAGTCAGCATCATTTAAAAGCTTTGGAGTACTTCTCTGAGGACATTAAATTGCCACACATCTCAGGAGCTCATCTTGGGACTAGGGACAGAATGTGTCTGTCAGGAAGGCCGCATGATTGTGGGACAGAGTGACCGTGTCCTGTCTCTGCAGGCTGACAGTGGGCTTCACTGTGAGTTGTCCCTGGCTGCAGTGAGAGCATGTCAGACGACCTGCGTGACTTGCGTGTTAACAGCACCATAGTAAAGTGTCCTCAGAGCACACCTGGGGAGAGGGAAGGATGTGGACTGACCTGAGTGTTATAGAAGTTTCACAATTGACATCACGACAAGAGCAAAGGTTTGCTTGTGGCATGTGGAAAGGTTTTCCTGGAAGGGAAGCACCTGAAATGGACCAAATGCTACATGCAGATGATGGCACTACCCAGACAGGGTACAGTAAGGTGCAGGTCACATCTGCACGCTGCTGGCAAGGAGGACGGACTCTCGCTTCTTGACTTCCTCCAACTCTGGGCTCTCAGGAGACCTGCTGGTCTGAGCAGACATGTGTTTGTGTTCTGGACAACATTGGGAGAATTCGCAGCATTCACTTTTGGTTCAATTTTTTCCCCTCTAAAACTTGCACAGCAGGATGACTCTTTCCTCATCCTCATGCTTGCTGCTCACAGGGAGGTCTTGAAGTCAGGGAACCGCCACAGACCTTTTTCGTATGTGTCCCAAAGGTGAGTTCCTTTCTGATGTTTTCTTTAGAAAAATGTTTTTAAGTGGCTACTGTCCCTTCACATGACGTGGGCCACATGAGAAGGGCTTAATCAGGTGGAGGCCGCTGTTTGTAAGGGGGAGACATACACCAGCTCCCAGATCAATGCAGAGAAAATCCAGTCGCCAGGCTGCAGTCCACCACCTGCATCCATGTCCCAGATCTTCAGTATGCGGTCCGTCCCACATGTCACCATCAGGCCCCTGGCGGTGTCCATGGACGTGTGTGAGGTGTTGTGCTTTTATTCATGAAACATTGCTAGAGAAGTTCAGTCTTTGTCTTTGATGGAGTCATGGCAGGAGTCACACACTTGCACCTGGAACTTGAAGCCCATGACCAGGTAACTGGAGCGCTTGCTGCTGCACTTTCCTCACACAGCTTGCTTGCACTTCCAGCAATGATGCTGCCTCAACCCCAGCATCTTTGTGTCCCACAGGTACTTTATATTCCAGAAAATACATGCTCACATTTCTGACAGGAATCACTTTCCAATCACTGGGGTGCCTCCTCTCGGCTGATGTCCATGTTCCACACTGCGATGTCACCATCACAGGACACAAGCTGCCAGTGACTGCACCCGGTCATGGTGGCCCTGAAGCAAGAGTGTCTGGCCGTTCTGGCCCCCGATGTCCCACATGATGATGCTGTTGTCAGATGCTCCTGAGAAGAGTAACCACTGAATCGGGTCCCACCAGAAGCAGGCAACACTCCCTTCATGTCGAGGGTGGTGATGACTGCACATGCATTCTGCTCAAGTTTCAGCAGGCTGATCTGTCCAGAATAATCACCAACAAATGTGTACTGAATATCAAAATCGTATTGCAGGCATGAAGCCCAGGAGGTACATAAGTACCACTTCTACCAGCTTCCACTCCATGTGCACATCCAGCTCACGCACTCGTTGTGGCCAGTGCTGATTACCCACTTGCTAGCCGGGCTGAAGATGACAGAGACCCAGTTCTGATGAGCTGGGTAGGTCTTAATAAAGGTCATTTTATTAAAATTTTCAGAAACGTGAAATTCCGTTACGGCTCCATTATCCTGGCCCACAAGTATTCATCTGCTATCACGGTGGTAAGCCATGGTGGAGCAAGGTGTGGTAAATGCTGGGCCAGTACTGGCTGCTATTTCTCTTCAGCCATACTCAGAGTGTCCTGTCCTCACTGCCCATGATCATGCCATCCTCCTTGGGGATGAGCAGCATGGCTGTAAGAGTGTCCTGGTGGCCCTTGATCTTGCTCAGCAGCACCACAGCAGCCACTCTGTGGCCTGGAGTGGATCTCAGCCACCATGTTTGCCACCGCGCCAGCCAGGCACCCGTCAGCTGATCCAGAAGATGGCTCTTGAGAGTCTTACATTGATTTATTCAACAGTCAGCATTGGGGCCCTGGTGAAAGCTTGGGGATACAATAGACAGATTAGGTGCCTGTACTCAGAAAATTGACTATAGTGGCAGGAAAATAGCTAATGCAGTAAATAAATGAACAAAAGAAATTCACATGTTAAGTAAGTGTTCTGAAACCCCTAATACAGGATTACTTTAGAGTAGGTGGTCAGGGAAGGCTTCTCTGAAGAAGTGACTTTCAAATGAATATGTCAGTCGTAAGAAGCAGCTTGTTATGCTAGGCTCCACATGTAGGAAATGCTGGCAGAAAAACTGCTGGTGCCAAGATTGGAGGTAGTAATGTGCTTAACATGAAGGAATGAGAGATGGCTTGTGTGACTTGGTTGGAGCCAGTGAGCAGGAGAGAGTGGCCAGATGAGTCAGGGGCAAGCAGGCCCTGGACTGGCAGGGATAGTAAGCAGCTCTAGGTCTAGAATGGTGCTGAGGCAGTGTGGGTTAGCTCAGGGTCTCACTGTATTTCCAGAAGGTCAAGGACTTGCCAGTCTGTACAGCGAATGTTTCACCAATGCACTGTGTGGTGACCACAGTGTTCCCTTAAGACATGATCCCTGCCTCGTATGCTTCCTTCTATAGCCAGGACAGTGGTGGACACAGGGACCTGAGTCAAGTTCCCCTCCCCACCGAGCTATACAACTGGGCTGCACCGGAAGTGATCTTTCAGAAGGCAGCCACGGTGAAGTCAGACATCTACAGCTTTTCCATGATCATACAAGAGATTTTAACAGGTGATCAAATTAACCAAACCTCCTATTTTTAGGTTGTCTTTCCTTTAAGAGTTAGTTTTATGCAAGTGGAGAATTCAAAAGATTTTTGGTTTTGTTCCATTTTTTTTTTTTTTTTTCTAAGACAGGGTCCCAGGGTCGCTTTGGACTCTCAATCCTCCTGTCTCAGCCTGCTAAATGCTGGGATTAGAGGTGTCTGTCACCATGAATGGCTTAGAGAAAAATATCTTTTTAGACACTTCTTTTGTACTTTTGGAATATACAATGATCTTGTAGAAGTCTTTATTGTAACTGTTCTTCAAGACTCACCCCCAAACAAGTCACCAAAGATCATCCATTTGCTCATTACCGAGTTCCTGCCTTGAACCACTGGTGGTACATGCATGGCCATCCCATGCTGGTACAGATGGTTCTAATTCCTTTTATTGGTCTTTTTTACTAATACAATTAATAAAAAGCCCCTCTATGGGTCAGCCATACGTGTACTAGTGGTGGTTTAACCATCCAGCAGGGAAACATACAAATTATAGCCCCTTTGTGAACTTGTTAATGATAATACATTTAGACCAAGCACACGTTATTTTCCTCCTCTGTCTCCTCTTCCTCTGTCTTTACTTCCTTTTCTTTTTCCTTATTCTCCTCTTCCTTCTCTCTTTCCTCTCCCTTCTCCTCCCCTTTGCCTTTTTCTTCTTTCCTCTTTCTCTTCCCCTTCCTCCCCCTGCTTCCCCGCTGTTTTTTCCTCTTCTCATCCTGTTCCTTTCCACTTTCTCCTCTATCTTCTCTCTCTTTTTTTTTTTTTCAGTGCTCAGGATTGAACTCAGTACCTTGCAGATACTAGGCAAGTGCTGTAGTCCTGAGATACATACACCCTTCCTCCCAAGTAAAGTTTAAAATTGAATATTCTTGTCAGTGTTTAAGGATCTCTGTGATGTTCCCCATAAGGACTTGTAAATGAGAAAAAGATTGGCTTCTGAGCAGTAAATATGAAATTAAACACACCCAGGGTCCTGTAAATGTGTAAAACAGTAGCACATGAGAGAACTGGAAACCCTTTAAAACCTGTAAGACTTTAATATGAAGTAGTCATGCATGTGAAAATGTGTTAGAGGATGAGCTCAAGGGCTGGGCATATAGCTCAGTGGTAGAGCTACATGCCAGTGTGGACATGGCCCTGGTTTCTACCCCAGCACCATAAAAAATGATTATTAAGTAAAAGAAAAACACAACGCACACACACGCATGCATGCATGCACACACAGCAAAAAACACATTTCATTAGGGGGTAAGTAAGAGTCAGCTTGCTTTTATAGTACTTGCAGTCACAGAGACAACACTGTACCTGGCAAGAGGTACAGTATTCACATTGGGGTACCCAGATGAATACCATGAAGCATTAATGGGTCTGCCAAGGCTACCAGAAAGAGAATACATATGATACTTGCAGTCTATTTCCTGTCCCTGTGGCAGGGTTTTCCTTGGTAAATGGATAAAGTGGCTTCTCATTTGTGAATAGCCTTCCAGATTGTTTTACTTCAGAGAGAAACTAACATGTCAAGGGGTTTGAGTGACTTGACTGTGGCTACACAACTGCATCTGATTTCTCACAGTTGCTCCTTCCTCCTTACAGATGATGTGCCCTGGAATGACTTAGATGGCTCAGTTATTAAGGAAGCTATCCTCTTGGGAAACTATTTAGAAGCTGATGCCAGGCTTCCAGAACCTTACTATGATGTTGTTAAGTCAGGTATCCAAGTCAAGGAGAAAGACAGAATTATGAATCTTCAAGACATCCAGTATATTCTGAAGAATGACTTAAAGGCAAGCCCTGAAGTACTTGGGAACTTGGTTCTACTTAGCCATCTTGGGAAAGTAGGCAATGAGAGACCAAAAGGAGTCTGGAGATTAAGCTGTAGAAAGCCCTGGAAATCCTCATTTTACTATACTTGTGTGTTTCTGAGAAAGCCTAACTGCTTAACACAGTGTAAGTAGTAGGGACGGAGGGGTGGAGTTGAGGAGAGTTAGCACATAGTGGGTAGGGTGCGCTGTAGGCACACAGTGGGGATGCAGTGAATGGTAGCTATTACTGCTTTCAAGGTATTGGGATAGCAGTGAAGTAGCTAATAAGGACTACAGGGTATCCACCAAAAAGAGGGAGCTTACCTGACAGGTAAATGGTTTCTACCAGTGACAGTCAGGAGATCGCAGATACACCTTTGACAACATTTCCCGTGTCACAGGAGAATACTGGAGTACAGAGAACCCAGCCAATGGAGAGCCCCAGGGTGCAGAGATGTGAACCCTATCCTGATGTTAGTGTCTATCTAGGACTAACTTCACAACATCGAAAGGCCGGTGTAGACTTGGAAATTAAAGAGCTAAAGGAATCAGGTATGGCCTTGACTCACAGGCTAAGCATCACTTTAACACTAGTGTATTTTGTGAGTCACATGAACTACGATTAATCATCTTGAACCTATACATGTAACTTATGCTGGGAAGATAGGGATAATTCAGGGGAAAATCCAAGATCTTTAAAATCTTAAGATTAAACTTTTTGGGCTTTATAAGATACCTGGCTTGAATGTAGAACTAAGTGGTAACAATGAGTTTATTGCTAGCAATACTCCATTTCTTTTCTTTCTTCCCTTTTTCTTTTTGTCTTTTTTTCAGTCTTTTCTTGAAATAAGATCTCACTGTGCAGTTCAGGCTGGTCTTAAATTCACTATGTATCCCAGGCTGGTTTGAACTTACTTTTTGCCTCCGCCTCAGAAGTGCTGAGATTACAGATTACATAGTGTACCACTATGCCTGGCATTTTTCTCTTCTTTTTTTTTTTTAGAAATCATGTCACTATGTACTCTGGCTGGCCTTGAACTCTCTGTGTAGTCCAGGCTGGCTTGAAACTCAAGATACGCCTGACTCAGCCTCCTACATGTTGATAATCTTAGATTTGCAGGACTATGTGTGACTCTGATTACTCTTAAGATCTTATGTAATTGCTTGAAAACAGAGATGATCTTTTAATTTTTTAGTTTAAAACCACTCCCTGCTAACTGGCCATGTACCAGCCAGATGTGATGATATCTACCTGTAATATCTGTTAATCAGGTGGCTGAGGCAGTAGTATCACTTGAGCTTAAGAGTTCCAGACCAGTGTGGACAACTTCTTGAAATTTAATCTCAAATAAAGAAAAAAAGAGCTACCCTCTCCTCATTTTGGAAATTGAAACAGAACAAAGAAGAGAATTTATTACCATTTTAATTCTGCCACTTAGAAATAATTTATTGACATTTTGGCCTTTCTTACATTTTCTGTGCTTTTCTGCTTTTTAGTACATGTAGAAACCTTAGAATTGGAAACTGAAAACCTTATAATCATTGGGCATAACACCCTGTCATTGCAGACGAGAAAACTAAGGTGCAGAGTTATAGTCTGCTTGGGGTGCCAGGACATGTTACAGATCTGGAACTCAGGCCTTCTAATTGCAGCCAAATGACTGTTCACTCAGACTTTCCTCTTGATAGGACTGGGGGCCTACACTGTGGCTCTCAAGCCCTTTTTATTTGTGTCTTTTATCTCATTTACTCCATGTCTGACACCTGTCAATCAGAAATGATGTGTGGTCAGCAATAGCATTATGGTGCGTATTTATCCCTCCGTGATGCAACGGTTTCCTGGATCACTCCTCTGCTACTTTTATCAGATGCTCACTAAGAACACAATTCGCCAACCTAAATTATCATATGTGTTTGTGTGAAGAAAACTATAAGCATAGTCCTTGAGATTCAGGGCCCTGTAATTTTCATGTCTCAGCAGTTAAAAATGTTTTGACTGCAGTATAAATGAAGCTTACAACATTTTCCTTAGGATTTGACTTCTCTCACTCACAAAATCTCTCTTCATTTCATATGCAAATGAGAACTTTCACTCAGATTAAAAATATCATTTGGGGCCAGGAATATAGCTCAGTGGCACAGCACCTGCCTGTCAAGTACGAGTTCCTGAGTTCAATTCCCAGTACCAGGAAAAAAAATGTGTAAGTATGTATCCTTTGATGAATGTGTGCAATAGTCTTCCATAATGCTGAGGGAGTTGAAAATGAATGACTTTGTGGGCATTCTTGTGCCTTTTGACTGAGTATAGTAATGCTGAATATAGTAATCACTTTAATCAGTTGTGTGTTCTATTTTTAACAGGCAGTCAGCCCCATTCACCAAAGGATTACTCTTCTCCCACTGCAAAAGCAGTATTAGCTCCTCAGACTCCAGATCCAAGTCTGATGGCCCAGGTGCCTCAGAATCTAGCTGCTGCTGCTGCTGCTGTTGCTCCTCCTCCTCCTCCTTCGCCACCTCCTCCTCCTCCTACATCGGTTGTGGCAGAAACCAGTGCAAGTCAGGGCAGCCTCAACAGCTTCGAAATCAATGAAATCTTCTCAGGCTGCTTGAACATAGAAATTGACACAGAGGAAGAATGCCCAGGTGCTACTTCAGCTCTTGAGGATGATAAACCAAACCAGGTAGATGAACTACAGTCCCTGGAAGAAGAGTTGGATAAGATGGAGGAAGAGGCACACCTTTGTGATGAGGACGAGAACTCTTCAGAGGTTGACACAGAGCTGTTTTTTGGTGACTGGGACTGGCAAAATAATTCACTTAGTTTACTCAGCCTACCCAAGCCAGCCAGAGAAGCCACGGGTAAAGTGAGCAGCTGGTCCAAGACTGAGGAGTACATCAGTAAATGTGTGCTGAATCTAAAGATTTCACAGACAATGGCTCACGAGATTACAGATTTGGTGGGAAATATTAAGCAGAAATTAAATGAGGTTGAGTTGATACAAAAGGAGAATACATCTTTGTGGACTGCTTCAAGATTATTTCCAGATGTCTGTGATTTACCTAGACCAGTAGGCCCTCCAACTTTGAATTACATTCCTCCTGTCATGCAGGTGTCAGGAGGCTCCCATCCAGACACCAGTGGCAATTTCCCAACCTTACTAAGGTCCCCAAGAAGAGTGAAAGAATTTCAAGGAGCATATTGTGACAAAAAGCCCAAAAGAAGTAGTAGTTATGCCTGGAAACCTTTCACCCACATCTCTGAAGAAAGCACTGAGTACCAGGCAGAGAGACGTCATCAGGTAAATCAAAGTGGGAGGCAGGTGGAACCTAACTAGCACTTCAGAGCCAGGATCAACACTGTCCCTGACCCATGTGTAATAGCTGGAAGATAAATGCCACTAACTCATAGCAAGTTCCTCTTTGCTTTAGGAAAGATCTCCAGGAAAGAATTCAAGAAAGATACACACTATCTTCCATTTCCAAACCCAACAGACAGCCTGTGCCTTTGTAAATTCAAATACAGTAGATGGAATCAAATGAAATTTGTGCTTTATAGTCAATACAATGAATCAAGTTTTAGCAGTTTCACATAGTGTTCTGTACAGATACTCATTCCCACTATAAATTGCTTATTCATTCACTCATTCATTCACACACCTAAAAAGCATTTACAGAGCCAGAGGCTGTATTAGACCCTGGGATATGATGAGAATAAGCCACAAGCTATGCTCATAAGCAGCTCAAACCCCAGTGGGAGTCTGAGGGACTTACTGGTCCCAGAGGACACTTGAGAGGAGGTGAGTGGGGAGTCTGGGAGCTGCCCTGGGAGTATACCGGTGCTTGTCAGGTTCTAGAGTAGCTTCTTTATGAGCACTTTAAGAACACAGCTGAGGTCTTACTCCTGTGTCTCAGCACGAAGCTTGGGCCTGACGCTAGAAGATGCTCAACAAATGATCACTGAGGATGAATGCATAAATAAATTTGAACTAGTTCATACAGATAGCAGTCTGCTTGTTGAGTTACTGACTTTTAGAGCTAAAAGCCCCCTCAGACCTGGATCAACTTTGTCATTTTATTTTATTTATTTATTTTTTGAGACAGGGTCTTGCTATGCAGTTCAGGCTGGCCTTGAGCTCACTTTGTAACTCAGGCTGGTCTCGAACTCACAACAATCCTCCCACCTCAGCCTCCCGAGTGCTGCGATTATAGGTGTGAGCCACCATGCCCAGCTAACTGTCATTTTATAGAGTGCCATGCTCAAGCTCAGTGAGTTAAACTTCCTTAGGTCCAGTGATGTCACCAAGATGGGAGTGGGGCAAGAGAGTTCTGTTCCAGAGGATTTTACTACCATAATTACTAAAAATGGCTATCTCATGGTAAGGAAAAGCAGGTCAACTTGTAGGGGTTTTGTTACTGTTAAAGTCTCCACTTACAATGTACCCTGTTATTGTCTGCGTATAACAGATATACCCTTCCCCCTAGTTTCCTATGCCACTGGCAAAGTCCAAACTGGCTGGGGTCTTTCTGACTCCAGTCTGGTTTCTTTTACTGTGTCGTGCTGAGTTTCAATGAGGCTTCAGTCTTTACCTCAAACACTGGAAATACATTGACTTTGTGTGTGTGCGCATGCATGCGCGTGCTGCAGATTAAACCCAGCGCCTCATCCATGCTAGGTATGATCTCTAGGAGCTTTACCTGCAGCCCTGGCATTTTTCTACATGAAGTGCAAATAGCTTATGTAGTTTCTAATACTTGCTTTCATTGAATATTAGGGTTTGATAGAAAATTATTGGAAATAACTGCTCTTGTTATGTTTTGGATATCTGTTGCTGTTTAATAGGAAAACACCCTCAAAACTTAAGTAGTTTAGGCCAGGTGTGGTGGTGCAGGCTGTAATCCCAGCACTCAGAAGGCTGAGGCAGGAGGAGTACTGTGAGTCATAGGCCAAGCTGGGCTACATTGTGAGTTCAAGGCTAGGTTGAACTACATAGCAAGATCCTGTCTCAGAAAAAAGAAAAAACCACATAAAGCAAAATACTTGGTAGCTTAAAACAGCCATGCCTTCTTATTTCTCATGGGGTCAGAGACTTGAGAATTAACTTCGTGGTGGTTCTGTACTACATCGCATTAGCTGAGTCACTTGATTGCATTCTGCTGGAGGTTGAGCAGGGCAAGAATAATCAAGATGCCTCCATTTATATGACTGATGCCTTGAACTCCTCCGTGTGGTTTTCTTTTCTGCATTTGGCTTTTCATCATTCAATAAATCGTCTCACCCAAGCTTCTTTATGCTATGGTACCTGGCTGGCTGGCCAGCTGACTGCTTGCTTGCTTGTCTCGGCTTTTTGAGACAGGGTTTTACTATGTAGTTTAGGCTTGTAGCACAACTGACCTTGCAGCTATCCTCCTACCTTAACCTAGTGCATATGACTATGAATAAAACAATCATATTTTTATGTTTTTATCAGGAAATAAGACATTTTTACCAAGTAAATTTTTCAGAGTTGAAATTGATTCCTTTGGTTTAATTCTTAAATTTTTAAGAATGAAAACATTACAGATTTCCTGTTATTCTATATGTGTATTTTAATTGTAATTCAAAACATACTTTAGCATTTCCTTGATGATAGTGACATTTTTGTGGATATTTGATCTTGTCATGCTTCCTTGGCTAAAGGCCATCTTCAGCCCTTGAGGAGAAGTGTTTGCTCTTACACATAGACCTCTTGAAATCATTCTTTGGAGAGATTGTGATAATGTTGTATTCCTTTTCTTACTGTTATGCATCTTGCTGATGTCCCAAACTCCACAGTTGTAGCTTTAATTTTCTATAAGCAAGGAAATACAATTAACTTATCTTATTAAAATTTGTTATAATTGAAACAGGGAGATGCAAAAGTCTCTGTTTTGAGTAAAGGACTTAGACATTTGTTTTACTTTTGCTATTTCCAAAGTATCATAGCCTTTATTTTATTGTATTTTATTTTCTTGGCATCTTCTCTGGTGGTATTATTGTTTCTCTTTATAGATGATGAAACTGTAGTGCATGACTCTCTTAGATTAGTCTAAGTAAGACTTAAATTAGAATCTAGGGATTCTGCAGCGAATATATGATGCCTTCATATTAGTGTCGGAGGAAGATGCTCAGCAGATTTTTATTTTATTTGCTCATTATCCACATGGACTTGTTTGGTCTGAGGTCTTGTGGGCTAACTAACATTTCTCTGTAAAAACTTCAAACTAAAAGATAGATTAATAGATAAGAGACATGCAAAGGATACATCTTGTTATTTCTAGACATTTAGCCAGAATGACTGTGAAAATAGTGTAAGAATAAAGAGAACAAGGCTCTAAAATATGGTTATTGTTTTTCAAGCTGTCAACTCTTTGTGACCCTGGGAAACAGGACACAGGTGAATCATTTCAGGTCACTCAAGGAGCCAAGGACAGTTTGGAAAGGAAGAAGAACCAAGATAGTAGGTAGGTCAACATGTTATTGTTTGTGCCACTGTGTCTTTAGACTTTGCTGTGGCCATGCAGCCACTAAGTGAACTTCACATATCTAGTTGACACAGGACCTGGGAGTAGTGAAAAAGAGCAAGACAGAAGCGGATCTTGTCAGGTTCTCTGTGCCAAGTGAATGAAAAGAGCAGTGTATTGGAATCTTGCAGAAGAGATCACAGGGAATGTGGCTGGCAGCTTAATGAGACAGGGTTTATTCTTTGTCCAAGTCTCAGCATCTTGCTTTTCCAAAACTGACTAGGTAGTTTTTCTTACAAAAATCAATGCCAGGTACTCCACTTGCCAGTAATCCAGAACCAAACTTACTGGAAAACAGGTTTAACACATCCTTGTCAAATTGAACCACTAGTGGTTCATACATGACTCTCCCATCAGGTGACATGGGACAGTCCCATCTGGTGCCACAAGCTGCCCAGTGGGACAGTCATGTATGTTCATCCCCATCATGAATGTGTTTAAGTATCACTGATTGCAGAGAAGTTGAGCAGTGCTATTATCCTGGAGTGTGTGATTTCTTGCCAAATGAATGAAATGAATTGACATTAGTAGAAATCTCCTGGGAGGAAAGTACTTATGTGCACTGGATTTTGAATTATTTATGCAAAATAAATTTTATTTTATGTATGAACAATTATTAAAGGAGCTAAAAATGTGCTTAATTTTTAAATTTTAAAAGTTGATACAATTTTTAATCATCCATGGCATGATGTTTTGAAGTACACACTCATTGTGGAGTGTTTATTTGTAGGTAATTCTCACACAGCAGGCATGCTAGAGCACACATGCCTACTCTGCCTTCAAGACTGATGTATAGTCATCCAGCATAGGCACTGCTGTGTATACACACGTACAGGTAACCACCATTCTACTACTTCCATGAGAATAACATTCTTAGATTCCACAGATGAGTGAGATCATGCATATTTGTCTTTCTATGTCTGACTTCTCTCACTTAATATGTCCTCCAGACTCATCGATTTTATCACAAAAAGATTTCATTCTTTCTGTGACTGAGTACTGTTTTATTGTGTGCGAGGAGGTGCATACATGTGTACATACACAAACACATATCTCATGTTCTTGTTATTCATCTCTTGATGGACACCTAAATTGATTCCATATCTTGGCTATTATGAATAGGGCTGCAGTAAACATGCAGCTGTGGGAACTGTGGATATTTCTCCAAAATTCTGATTTCAGCTCTTTCAGATATATACCCATTAGTAAGATTGCTGGATCATAATGGTAGTTATATTTTTAATGTTTTGTTTTTTCTGAGAGGAATATTATTATTATTATTATTATTATCACTATTTTGGTACCAAGGATCAAACTCATGACCATACACTTGCAAGGCAGGTGCTTATGCCACTGAGCTAAATCCCTAGTCCAATTTTATTATGTTGTACAAGCTGGTATTGATCTCCTTGGCTCAAATGATACTTCTGTTTCAGCCTCCACAGTAGTGGAGACTATAGGTATTCACCACTAGCCCAGCTTAGTTTTAATTTCTTGAGGAACCTCTGTACCCATTATCTTAATTGCTATTCTCATTTATATTCCCACCAATTATAATGATTCCTCTTTCTTCATGTCTTTGCAAACATATGCTCTCTTTTTGTGTTTGTTTGTTTTTGTTGTTATTGTTTTTGTACTGGATATCAAACCCAACCTTGTGCTGTGCCACTGAGTATGTCCCTGGCCCAACATTTGCTGTCTTAAAAATACATTTCAGACTGGAAATTTAGCTCACTGCCTTAAGCACCTGCTTGGCAAGTGTGAGGTCATGAGTTTGATCCCTGGTACCAAAAAAAAAAAAAAATAGATTTAAAAAATATATTTTAATCTAGACCAGTGTATTAGTCTTTGAGTTTAGTATGTGTGTGTGTGTGTGTGTGTGTGTGTGTGTGTGTGTGTGCATAAATGATAACACAAATTCATAGCTTTAAAGTCAGTTCTAGGAGGAAAAAACATTCTCATACCCCATGTTTCTGAGACTGATGACAAGAGTTTGGTGTTCTTTTTATGTTGGTAAATATGTATATAAGGAGTGTGAAAGAGAATGCTAGGCCATTTTAGATCACTGTATTTTACTTTGACAAAGGGATTTACAAAGAAACACTGTGTAGCATCAGAAAGTTTGGCATTCATGCTGTTTATAGAGCAAATCGAGTGACATTGGTGCTATTAGATGTTAAAGAAACGTACTTGTGACCTCCCCTGCTCAGCTTCACCTTTCTTCTCTTAGAAGAACAGAAACAGGCCAAATGAAATTTTAATATTTTGCTACCTATTTATGTGTGCTTTTATACTTTTATACCTTTGTATGCTTTTCTTTCTTTCTTTCTTTTTTTTTTTTGTATCTGGAATTGAACTTAGGACCTTGTACTTGCCATACAGGCACTTGCCATTGAGCTGTTTTCTTGGCTCTTTTATATGCTTTAAAAAAAATAAAACTATAATTACTATATGTGTATGCTTTTTTATTTTTATTTTTTGAGCAGAGGCTCCCTAAGTGGTTCAGGCTGGTCTTGAGTTCACCATGTAGCCCAGGCTGGCCTCAAACTATCAGTGATCCTCCTTGAACTTAGCCTTATGAGTTTCAGGGTTACAAGTGTGCACCATCATGCCAGCTGTATAGATAATTTTATATCATGGTTTTTCACTTTATATATATTACAACATAAACATTATCCCATGTTAATTTTTTTTTCCTTTGGTTTTTTGGTTCTGTTTTGTTTTGCCTTTTTGAGACAAGGTCTTGCTGTGCAGTTCAGGCTGGCCTTGGGCTCACTTTGTAGGCCAGGCTTGTCTCCAACTTGCAAATGATTCTCTTGCCTCAGCTTCCCAAATGCTGGAATTATAGGAGTATGCCACCATGCCTGGCTCCCCATGTTAGTTTTTAAAACTCTATAAACTTACTTTGCAGTTGTTGGATTTCTTTCATGGTTGAATTTTATTTCGTTTCATTCTCTATTCTGTTAAAAATAAAGCCACTGTAGCTTGTAAGTATAGTTTTCCTACAGTTTGGATTAATGTCTGAGAAAAAACTTCCAGAAACAGGATTATTAGGTCAAAGAGTTTGAACGTCTTAAAGTTGTTTCTGAAGAGTTCTTTGAAGAAGTTAATCAAACTGACCTTTCTGCTTTCTGTTCTAGCTTTGGAGATGGTGCATTCTAGACAATGTAGAAGATGTATCTGTGCCACAGAGCACACAACTCTGAGAGTTATTTTAGTTAGTATATGTGTATATATATATATATTTATGTGTATATGAAATAATACAGGGTATTTAAAAGAGAAAAAAAGGTACCCTTATTTTGCAGCTGAGGAAACCCAGTGAAGAGAGATTGACATTTACTAAAATCAGACAGCTAACCGAGACAGCTAATCCAGAACTCAGTAAAAGGAAACTAAGGTTTCAGAATGTTCTTTACAGTCCTGGTGCCTTACAACCGTCTCTACAAATGTTAGTTACTGTGGTATAACTGATATGTCGGTGAACGTGTTAGCAGAGAATCTGATGGAAGGATAGGACCATAACCTTCACCTAAACCATTACTTGTGATTTGAGGACTTGGGGGACAGGTGGGCACTGCAGCATCCAGAGGATCAGAATTTTGTCTAGTGAAACTGTATTTAAATTGTGGGTTTCTTCTACTTCTGAAAATTTCCAAAGAAAATGTTTAGTGTTATAAAATCTTAACTTGGAAACTGGAAAAATATCCAGAGAACCTCTAGCCCAGTCTTTTCATTTCTCAGCCAGGGAAGGTCTAAGGAGTTCAGTACCCAAGGCAAAGTCATGGAGCTAAAGAGTGTCCTTTTCCCTGTGTCAAGCCATGCTCAGGGACCTACTGGGTCATCCCACCCTTCCCAGGGTTCTACCAGGTAAGGAGCCTGCAATCTGGTGTTCTCTGATGGTAGACAGGAGTCAGTGCACCTGTGGGAATGGCTCAGGGAGTCTGGGATGGTTATGGGTGAGGAGGCTTTTAGTTGTGTTAGGAACTTGAAGAAACCTGATGTATTTATGTCTACCTGCTTCTATCATCCTGACCCAAAAAAACCTATGCAATTTAGGAACAATGTGGAATCTACATCTTCTGTAATCTCTAATGTGAAACAAGGAAATAAAGATGATGGAAAGATACACTTAAAATGGAAAAGTGAGTATGATATCATGGATTTTGTTAGGTAAAATGAAATTTAACTGCTATCCCTCTCTCTCACTCAAACCCAGGGCCTCATACTTTCTAGGTTCCTCCACTAAGCTATAACTACAGCCCCAACTGATACCTTTAAGTTTACAACCTGGATTTCACTTGAAAAAATAACAGTGTCATCTTACATTTTTCTTGTATGAGATCATTCATTCATTCATTGATTAGTTTATTTATTTAGACAGGCCCTTGAACTGAACTCACTATGTGGCCCAGTCTGGCCTCAAATTTGTGGTGATCTCTCTGCCCCTGCCCCTGCCCCTGCCCTTGCCCCTGCCCCTATGTGCTGGGATTAGTGGGATGCACCACCACACCCAGCTACAATGTGTGTATTTTAGTGTTGTGACCTTAGCAGAAGTATAGCTTGTTTGAAATGAAAACAGGCATGTATAGACATATCCCAAATATGAGCTTAATGGTCTAGAAAAACTAGGTAAATTCAAATCAAACTCATTGTATTAACTACTCTTTCTGGGAATTTCAGATGTCCATTTTTTGGTTAAATCATCAAGACCTTGCACCTGCAAGTTTTCTGCTGAATTCATCCGGAATGCAGCAGCAAAGGCTGTTTGGGGGGTAACTAACTGGGATGCCTTTCCTGTTTTCTGTCATCAGTTCTCCCTTCCCCTCCCCACCAATCCAAACAGGGCAAGCTAAGGAAGATGCAGCTGTGCAAAGGCAACTGTTATTACAGTGTGAGCTAGAGTAGGGTCTCACATCGATAGGATGACAGCTTTGTTTCTAGTTTCACAGTGACAGTTCAAGGTTGTTTCCTCTTATGTGCAGCGGAGGTGAAAGAAACGGCTGAGAAGGCAGCTAGTGGGGAGCTCCCAGTCCTTCCTTGGCATCCTCAGAGCAGTTTGACTTTGAAGAGTGAGGCTGTCTGCAAGTCCGGTCCCTTGTTGCAGCCTCCTGCTAGGGGCCCTGAAACAATGGGCTGGCAGCAAGGTATAGAGTTTCACAAGGAGAAGGAGGAGACAGAAGGATATGATGTCAGCTTGGTGAAAGTAGACAGCTGTAGCCACAACAGTGAGAATTGTGGCAGACAGCCTGGGCCACAAAGCTTCACTGGTAAGTTCAGTTGGGGAAATTGTGTTGAGTGAATGCTTACAAGTTATATCAGCTCCCAAAAACGTGTTAATTTTTCTTTCTTTCTTTCTTTTTTTTTTTGAGATCAGGTCTTGCTGGGTAGTTCAGGCTGGCCTTGATTTCACTGTATAACACAGGCTAACCTCAAATTCAGTGATCCTTTTGCCTCAGCTTCCTCATGGCATATTTCTTTCCTACCTTTTCTGGGAACTTGAATGCCAAGGGAAAGCAGCATACCCTTTACACCCCGTAGTGCTTCTTAGGTGCATAGGTATTCAGAGATTCACAAATTTTTCCATTACTTAAACTCCCTTCATCCAAAGAAAGTAAGATAAAGTTCATGTCCTGGTCATGGTCCTGGGTCTAACCCCAGAAGGAAATGCTTGTTTCTTTGCATTATACTCTAGGCTAGAAATAAATTCACCAATCTATTACATTTATAGCTGAAGACTATGTATGTCCACCCAGTAATTTGGTCTTGGTGAGGATAATGGAATATCATTGACCCAAAGAAAAGGATGTCTGCAGTTACTTGTTTTATGTAGGAAGCCTATTGGCTTGGGTGCTGTTTTGTTTTTGTGATGTGGGGAATTGAACTCATGACCTTGTGCTTGCTAGAGGTCTGAGTGTTTTGTTTTGCATTTAGAATCTGTTCCTCATCAAGCATCTTTTTTTTTTAAAGAATCACTCTTGAGTGTATGAACAACAGGGTGGATGATTCAGGGCTGCATTTTGGGCTCAAGCTAAACTAACAGTCTCTGTTCTCTGCACTAAACCTAACATAAGAGAGACGGCCACTCTTGACAGAATGTATGTGCATCTCTTTCCATGCTGTCTTTTATTCCTGCAATGCTATCCCAATATGAATGTCTGTGACCCTGATTGCATTATACTCATTAGGTATCAGGCATCTTTCATTGAGGAGAAATGAGCAGCCAGAACCTAATGGAGCCTTTCAAGCAAGTTCTGTTGTGTCTGTGACTGCTGAGAAATCTTACAATGTAAGTAATATGGCTTGGAGAGCCAAACTGAGCTCAGAGATCTAATAAACTAGAGCCAAGGTATTATGTAGTATCTGTAGTATCTGGCCAAGATCCCCAGCTGCCTCAATGAGGGGTACTGTGAAAGGAGGAATAAGAAACAGATCTACTAATGCATGATGGGGGTCTAGGGAGCCAGTGCCTCAGGATGGGCAGAGATAAAGCCTCTTCAACCAGCCAGATTTATTGGGTATATAGAGTCATAGGAGGGGATAACAGAAGACTCAAGGTTGGCAGAAGACTCAGAGGTGGATGACTCAAAAGGGATGATGACTCAAAGTGGAAGGGATCTTGCTAAGAAGCTTGCCCTGGAGTCTTTTATCTTAGTGGTTTTAGTTTTAGTCTTAGTGGGTGGGAGAGGATGGCCCTTCCTTAAAGAGATAATGGGAAACCTCAAAAGGATGGCACCGATAATCCCAAGCTTCCATTTATTCCTTAGGAAAGTACACACGATTAACCGTTGTGAATTTGTGGTCCCCAACAATATACTAACTATATGGGGGTAACAGTCATCTATAGAATAGAGGCAGTAATTTGAATAATACAATATAAAGTATAATAGTGTTAGAATAATAAAGTCTTTTGAACGCAGTACATTGTTGTATTTAATCATATAAACTATTCACAGTGTATATGTGAGAGCTAGAAGGTTGTGCTACATTGAGCACACTGACTAGGCTGGAGAGACAGGTCTAGTCAGGGAAGAGGGAAGGTGTGGGGCACCCAGACTCACCTGGTAAGTTTAGGTTTACTGTGAGAAGTAAAGAGGAATAGCTCTTGAGTGCGCAGTGAGGGGAAGGTTATGCCAGAAGCAATGTCTAAAGAAAGAAGTCATAAAAATCTCTGCAAAGAGATGCCTGAAAGGCAGGAGAAAAGAACCACTTGTCTAACCATGTCACAAGCAGCAGCTGAATATAAGAAAAGGAGCGAAAAAGAGGGAGTGAAGTGGAGATGCTCTGTTACTTTTTCAATTTCATTTCATTTATTTATTTGAGACAGGGTCTCACTATGCAATTCAAACTGGCCTTGAACTCACTATGTAGCTCAGGCTGGCCTCAAACTCAGCAGTTCTCTTGCCCCAATCTCCCAAGAACTGGGATTAAGGGAGTGTACCACCATGCCCAATTTAATTTTTCATTCCTTTTTTTTGGTACTGGGGATCGAACTCATGACCTTGCACCTACCAGACAGGTGCTTATGCTGTTGAGCTAAATCCCGGCCCCCACTTTTCTTTCTTGAGGTTGCATTATTTTTAAAATCCTACTCCTTAGGCTAGGATACGGGCATTGCTGTGTGTTCAAGACCAGCCTGTACTACAAAGCAAAACCCTGTTTCAAAAAACAAGACAAAAATACACCAAAAGAAATTCTTCCCCTGTTCCTTTGCTTGCCTTAAACGGTTGTGCCTGAGGAATTGTGAAGTCTGAGCAGCCTCAGGCTCCTCATGTGCAGGCCAATGTCAGTGTGTGGACTGTGGACTGTATCTGTACCCTGGTGGCACTGAGAGTTGTAAGTTGAATCCTTAGCTTGAGTTGTCTGGGGTCTGTCTTCTCACTTAGAATTGTAAACAGAAAAGCAGTCTCATCCCCACCCTTGTGCAAATGAGAGGCTGAGACACAGGACCATCATTCCTCCACACTTACTCCAAGCAGTTCACGATGCCTGTCTTCACCATAAAGTTGAGCAGAGGCACACACACAGATGAGCTGGGAAAGCCAGCTTTGTGTTCAAATGACTGCTAGGTAGTCTTCTGTAATGCTGTGATTAACACTGCATCCAACAGTAAAGGAATCATTTACAATGAAATTTAATTGTGATTACTTGGAGACAACTTGAAAATATCCTCATTAGTGAAATAAATAAGACATTAGTAAATATTGCATTGTCTCTCTAGTGTAAAAAATAATAAATACTGACAGAATAATGGGATCCAAAAAGTGTAATAGATACTGTGAAAGTGAAAGGGAAGGAAAGTGCTCTAAAGAGTATAACGGTATGCATAGTGTGTAGATAGGTGACCATATTACTGAATTTCTGTGGGAATATTGAACAGAAGGATTTGCACTGTCAATCTTTGAGTGTCTAGCCACTATTTGTGCTTTGATTTTGTGGCTTTGGCAACTATTTTTTAAGATGACAGTGAGTAATGTATCAACTAGCAATTCTATGATGATAATTTTTTAAAATTTGGTATTGTTCTGCCCTTTTCTGTCTTTCTATTTTCTTTAATTTTCTTTCTATGAAAAAAAGAACAATATGCAATATAACAACCATTGTTAAATTTCTTTCATTCTGTTTTGAAAATTATATTGTTGTTTTGAGTTTGCTGTTGTTTATATCTTTTGCTCTTTGCCTTTCTGATTTTTCTCTTTTTAAAATACAAATTTTAAAATGTGATTACCTGCATTATTTATAGGATCAGGCTATACCATCATCGTGGTCACCAGAATCTTCTGAGGATGTAACAGATGAATTTTTAACTCCAGACCATGAATATTTTTATTCTCCAACTGCTCAAGAAAACTTACCTGTAGAGGTAAAAATCACATTCAGGGTAACGTACGTTTTTAGTTTTCTCCATTGCCTTAGTTAAATCATTTTTTCTTGAGACAATAGTTTAAACATTGTTATGGTTTATGGCTAGATATCCGCCACCAAAGCCTTGTGTGGTCATAGGTTAAGCTTTTCAGTGGTGGCTGGATCTAGAGTGTGATGCTGGGATCAGGACTGTGATTACTAAATTAGTCCACTGATTGGTTTGGCACAGTTTGGGGTTTAAGGGTGCCCCACCCTGGGTTTGAATGCTGCCAGTCCTGAGGGCAGGTAGGCTGGATGTTATATAGGCTACAAAAAGGTCACTTACTACCTTTGACCTCCTGCCTTCTTCCTGCCAAGAACTGTTTCTGTGTCGTCCACCTCTGCCATGCCACCCTGCCTTAGAGCCAGCTGCCTGTGGACTGAAACCTCTGTAAACTGTGAACTACCATCAACCTTTTGTTTTTTAATTTAGGGTGTCTGATATTTTGTCTTAGCAACAAGAAAAGTAACTAGCACACATGAAAATACCTAATGTCATATTCATAGTGCTTTTGTGCATATTTTAAAAATCTATTTTTGACAACTAAGATTTTTGACAGTGGAAAGTCATGTGCAGTTTCTCTCAAAGTCATGATTTTCCCACTTGTATAGTACTTTGTACTTTTTTCCCAAACAGTTTTGTTCTGTTTTGTTTTTTGGTACCAGGGATTAAACCCACGACCTCGCACTTGCCAGGCAGGCTCTGTGTCAGAGCTAAATCCTAGACCCTAAAGCATTTTTATTCCTGCTACCTGATTCACATATCCTTTCTGTGGAGAAGAGATTATCTATCACCTCTGTGAAGAAAAACTTGTGACTGCAGATATAGGGAATCAAGCCTCATTGTCCAACCTTTAGTAACAGGAGAGCCAGAATTACAGGCATTTTGTTCAGGAATAAGATAGCCCTGTCCAGTCCAGCTGGGCAGAATGGCACTTGCCTGTAATCCCAGTGCAGAAGAGGCTGAGGCAGAAGGATCGTTGCAAGTTTGAGACCATCCTGGGTTACAAAGTGAACTTGAAGTTAGTCTTGCATAGTGAGATCCTGTCTCACAAGAAAAAAAAAATGGCACTGTCCAGTACACACAATTTTCCTCTGAGCATGCACGTTGTGCAAGGAGCTGCTGGCAAACTAAATTTACTGGATTCTCTTACTTATATAATTTCTACCCCATCTCTCCCCTAATTGCTACATTTTTGGAATCTTTTACGAACATGAAGAGTAAACTGAAGGAAAGCCAGGAATGTATATTCCAATCATATCATTTGACTGACAAGAGTTCCAGATATATCAGAAAAATAGTTTCTACTTGTCTTCACACAGCAGTTCCACTATTCATTTTTATTTTATTTCTTTATATATATATGTACACACATATACGTATGTGTGTATATATATATATGTATTTTTTTATTCTAAAGAGATTACGACAAAACAGGACATAACAAAGCAGATCAGAACAGAACAATGTAAGCAACACAGTATTTCACCAAAAGACAAGCTGTAATTAACAATAATTACCACAATGTCTCTTTGAAATAGGTGAGTATAACTTTATATACTGTTATATCAAACATAACAAAATAGTATGAAAACATTCAAGAGAATGAGAATATTACACGGCATGCAGAACAAAATAACAGAAAACAAACAATGGCTACTATATTATCTCATTTTTCATAGAAAATTTGTTTATACTTTCACACACAATCCAACCCAATGAGGTACAACATGATAGAGCCAATGGAAACCGAAGAGTAAAAGCATAGTAGGATTTCAGAGTAAGATATTACATCAATACTGGCTATTATAATGACTTAATTCCCTCAAATTAGCTGTTCATACCATCACAGATAATAAAACCAAATAAACCAGGAAAACCCATTCCAAATGATGAATGCAATCGTTCTAAGGCTACAAAAACAGTGTCATGGGGAATCATGATCACCATAAATTCTTATGTACTGTAACACTAGAGAGATTATATGGTATTTATACATGGGACTTAATATCTCAATGTGCTCATTCTTTATAGCTGAGTAGTACTCCATTGTATAAAAATACCACAATTTTTTATCCATTCCTCAGTTGATGGACACTTAGGTTGTTTCCAAGATCTGGCTATTACAAATTGTGCTGCTATAAACATGGGTGCACATATATCACTGTGGTATGTTTTCAGTTCTTCTGGAAATAATGCCCAGAAGTAGAATAGCTGGGTCGAATGGGACTTCCAAGTCCAGCTTTTTGAGGAATCTCCATATTGAACTCCACAGTGGTTGCACCAGTCTACACTCTCACCAGCAGTGCAGGAGAGTTCCTTTTTCCCCACAGCCTCTTCAGCATCTGGTGTTGGTAGTTTTCTTGATTCTGGCCATTCTTTCTGGAGTGAGATAGAATCTCAGTGTGGTTTTAATTTGCTTTTCTCTAATGATTAATGATAATGAAAATTTTTGCATGTATTTATTTGCCATTTGTATTTCTTCATCTGAGAACTGTGTATTTATCGCAGATGCCCATTTTTGGATTGGGTCTTTGAGTTTCGGGGATCTGATTTTGTTTAATTCTTTATGTGTTTTAGACAAAGTCCTTTGTCTGAGGGGCAGTTCACTAAGATTTTTTCCCAGTTTGTGGGTTTTCTTTTCCCTATGCTGAAGATTTCTTTTGACATGCAGAAACTTTTTAATAAGACGGGGTCCCAGTTACTGATTCTGGGAAATATTTCCCATGCAATTTGATTCCAGTTCATGAATTCTCTACCTACCTCTATGTCTTCAAGATGTTTACCTGCTTTGTCTTCCAACAGATTTAGTGTTTCTGTTTTAATATTCATATCTTTGATCCATTTAGATTTTATTTTAGTACATGGTGATAAGCATGGGTCTAGTTTTAGTTTTTGGCATGTGGAGAGCCAGTTTTTCCAGCACCAGTCTCTTTATTAAAAGAGACTGTCATTCTTCCAGTGAACATGTTTGGACCCTTTATCAAAGATAAGTTGGTTGAGTGTGTTGGTAATTGTGATTGTATCTTTCTATTCCATTGATCTTCAGATCTTTTTTGATTCCAATACCATGTGGATTTTATTACAGTTGCTTTGTAGTATAACTTCAAGTCAGGGATTGTGATTTCTCCAGCCTTGCCTTTGCTGCTTAAAATTGCCTTTGCTATTCTAGGTCTCTTCTAGTTCCAGATGAATTTTAGGAGTGATTTCTCTAGGTGTATGAGGTATGTTGATGGTATTTTTATCGGGATTGCATTGAACCTGTATAACAGTTTTGGCAGAATGGCCATTTTCACAATATTTATTCTCCCTATCCATGAACAGGGGATGTCTTTCCATTTTCTGAGATTATCTTTATTTCTTTTTTCAGGGTATTATAATTTTCCCTGTATAAATCTTTTACTTCTTTCATGAGATTAATTCCTAAGTATTTCATTTTTTTGGATGCCAGTGTGAAGGGTGTAGCTTCTTTTATTTCTCTCCCTGTAATTTTGTTGTTAGTCTATAGAAATGCTAGTGATTTTTGAGCATTGATTTTGTATCCAGCTATATTGCTGAATTTATTTATATCTAGGAGTCTTTCAATGGAGTTTTGAGGGTCTTCTGTGTAAAGTATCATATCATCTGCAAATAATGATAATTTAACTTCCTCTTTTCCTATGTTTACTCCTTTTATTTCTCTCTCTTGTCTAATTGCTCTGGCTAGTATTTCCAATACTATATTGAATAGGAGCACTGATAAGGGACATCGTTGTCTTGTGCCTGATTTTGAGGTAAAGTTTTTGGCCATTTAATATAATGCTGGCTGTTGGTTTGTCAGAGATGGCCTTTATCATATTGAGGTAAATACCATCTATTCCAATTTTTTGGAAGGTTTTTATCATGAATGAGTATTGGGCCTTATTAAAAGCTTTTTCTGCATCTGTGTAAATGATCATGTGATTCTTCCTTTTGACTTTATTGATATGGTGGATTACACTTACTGATTTACGTATGTTGGTTGAACCATCCCTGCATGCCTGGGATGAATCCTACTTGGTCGTGGTGTATAATCTTGATGATTTGCTGCATCCTGTTTGCCAATATTTTGTTGAGGACTTTTGCAACTGTGTTCATTAGGGATACTGGCCTGTCGTTCTCTTTTTAAGTTGGGTTTTTCTCAGGTTTTGGTACTAGAGCAACATTTGCTTTCAGGAATGAATTAGGAAGAATGATTTCCTTTTGATTTCATTGAAGAGTTTGAGGAGCGTCAGCATTAAGTCTTCGTTATATTTCTTGTAAAATTCCACAGTGAATCCGTCTGGGCCTGGGCTCTTCTTTGTAGGTAAGGACTTAATTACATTTTCAATTCCATTAATAGAAATTAGTTTATTCAGCAGTTTTACATCTTCTTGACTTAGCTTTGGTACTTCATATGTTTCTACGAATCTGTCCATTTCTTCTCTGTTAGTGAACCTGTGAGAGTAGAGGTTATTGAAATAGGTGTGGATGATCTTCTGTATTTCCACAGAGTCAGTAGTGATTTTGCCTTTGTCATTCCTTATTGCATGAATTTGAGCTTTTTTTTTTTTCCTTTTTTAAAATTGGTTGGCTAGGGGCTTATCAATTTTATTTATTCTTTCAAAGAACCAACTCTTTAATTCATTGATTCTATGGATTGTTTTCTTAGTCTCTATTGCATTAATTTTTGCTCTGATTTTTATAATTTCCTCTCTTCTTTTGACTCTGGGCTTGACTTGCTCTTCTTTTTCTAGATGTTTGAGGTGTAGCATCAGGTTGTCTATTTGTATTCGTTCTGTTTTCCTGATGTGGGAACTCAGTGCAATAAATTTTCCTCTGAGGATTGTTTTGATTACATCCCACAGATACTGATAAGTTGTATTTATAGTTTCATTTGCTTGTAGGTATTTTTTAATTTCTTCTTTAATTTCCCCTGTGACCCACTGATTGCTCAAGAG